GCTGTCCTTAAGCTCGCTGTGTAGCTCAGGCTGGCCTCAGTGCTGGGATTACGGTATTGTGCCGCCACACCCAGCTCAGCGCTCTTTACTTCTGTCTAGATAAAGCTAACGCATTTGAAATGGTGCTCAAAGTAAAGCCTCTAAGGAATTTTTGCTGTAATTTACCTCAGTAATCTGGGAAAAAAACCCACAAAAACATGTGTGTATATGTGTGTTTTGGAAAGGTATAAAACAAAACAATAAAATGGAACAAAACAGAACAATGTTTGGCCAAGGATGTAGCTCAGTGGCATAAATGCCTGCCTGGTAAGTGTAAGATGCTAAGTTCCATTCCCACTACCAAAAAACAAAAACCAAACAAACAAACAAAAAATTGCATCTCAAAAACAAGACCGGGGGAAATCCCTGTAGTTGCTAGAGTGCATATTGTGGTCCTCTAAACAGATGCTCAGCCTGCCAGCCCCAGGCCTGCAGTCATCCCGCTGTTTCTGTGCCTCGGTGCCGGCACCCCTGTCGGTGTGCCCGGTTACCTGTGGGGTGGGGGCAGCTGTGCTCCCAGAAAGGGCAGGCTGACCTCCTGGTTCCTTTCCCAGCCCGTGGCCACTTGGGCTCCCTGGCTGTACTTAAGGCATATGGTAATCCAGGGCCTTCACAGCGAGGTATATTCACAGCATTTTTAATGTTCTTTAAATTTTGAGACAAGGTCTAATTTGCTGGGTTATCCATACTGGTCTCAAATTTGAGTCCTCAGCTTCAGCCCCCCACAGTGCTGAGATTACAGCTACGTGCCACCATGCTTCGTGTAGAACTGAGTATCCTGGGTTCTTTTAGGTAGGGGTGGTTTTTGAGACAGGTCTCATTATGTAGTCCAGACTAGTCTCGAACTTGCGGTGGTTCTCTTGGCTCAACCTCAAAGCGCTGGGATTAAAGGTTTACACCACCATACCTGGCTTCATTTTATTTCCCATCGCTAACAAATGCTGTACTTAGGTCCTCTTTGCCTTTAATCCGCGCTTCCCCACCCTTCTCAACTGTTTGTATTAATTATATGGCTGGCTCCCTAGATGAAAATAATTCTAACTTACTCAAGCGTCAGTTTCTCTCCCCTCCCACCACCACCATCCGACCTAGGCTCGAACATGCCAGGCGGGCACTTTACACTGAGATATTCGATACCCCCAGTCCATTTTTATTTTGAGAGTTTGACTAAGTTGCACTGCCTCGCCTTAAAGTAACCCTCCTGCCTCAGTTTTACAAGTGGCTGTCACTATAGGTGTGTGCCACAGTGCCTGACTTTGTGGTATCTTTAACCAAGTACATTTAATGGAAGGAACCTTAGGATGATAAAGTTCATTTTTGTTTTTGTGGTACTGTGCTACTACTAGGCAAGTGATCTACCAGTAAATTTTTTTTTTTTTCTCGGTACCGGGGATCAAACTTGCAACCACACGCTTGTAAGGCAGGCACTTATGCCGTTGAGCTACATGCCCAGCCCCTGATCTACCAGTAAATTACCCCAGGCCGGGAAGAACTTTTTAACAAGCAACCTTACTGCTCTAAATATAGTGGGCAAACAGTACAGAGAATTTGTTTTTCTTTTTTCTTGTACATAGTGCTGGAGACCAAACCCAGAGCCTCACATTTGCTGCCACTGAGCTACAAAAACATCAGCCCGTAGTTTCTTGATGTGACTTTATCAAAACTCCGAAGCAGTTCTTATACCAAAATAAACTAAAATAAAATAAAATCACAGCTGAAAAATCTAAAATAATTGTCTTAGATGAACCATGATTCTTTTAAAAATACACGACCACTAGCTGGTCCAGCTACAACTAACCTTAGAAGGGCAGGGACTTTCCCTCTGGTGCCCCATTAGAGTGAATCAGATCCGATCGTGATTGTGTCAAAAGTTCAGAAGGGAAAGTGGAGGGTAAAGTGAGCCCAGTTGGCGCTCTGCCCTCGACATTGTACCTGTAAGCTTGATATGTTGTTTCAGAGATTAACTTTATAGACTTCCGTACCCAGAAGTATGAAAATTCTTAGGGCACTCTTTTCACAAGCTTGATCTTAACATACTGAATAAAGAGAGCAGTTAATCCCTTTTGTAAAGTAATTTGAGAGGAGGGAATTCAAAATGTAAAATCTCACCTGCAGAAAATACTCAACTCTGTAAAGGCCTTTCTATCTTTAGACACTTACAAAGACTTAATATTTTAATGCGGAAGGGTGAAGTTGGCTAAAAAGCCAATGGGTGAAATTAGAGAGAAATAATCCAGTGCTTTCTTTCTGGGAATCACCATCCTGCTCTCCAGGGGAGCTGATTTTATTGCCTGTGAGGAATGCGAATACCCCTCTGTATAACAAGCCAGGAGCTCTAAATATAAGCTTGACTTTTAGTATAATAAGAGTCTTGTTATGTGCAATTTTGCTCTTAGTCATTAATACAATGGACAAATGTTGTGGGTACCTGGGAAAGAAAATTCAAGTGCTTTTAAACCTTTTGTGAGATTTGGTTTCATGCTTGAAACCTATACACTGTTATGCCCAACAGCATCTGTAGAAAATTCCAGGCTCTGGTTGTACAGTGTAGAGAGAGGTCAATGCACTGTGGAAGAAATGGATGCCACAAAAAGTGGTTTTAAATACCGGATAAAAAGATTTCCTTAGGCGTGAGTTTTACAAGATGATAATGAATCTGTATACCAAGATTTATTAGCATTAGCATTTTTCTTTTCAGCTGTGAAACAGCTACCAGAAAGATTGACTTAAAGACCAAGTGCAATCTAAGCGAATATATACTAACAAATGGCATATTCTACGAAAAGGCAGACTGTGGCATTTGTTGGGTTAAATTAATTTTGTCTTTTATAAACTTTGTGATATGTATGTTTTAAAATGTAACAGAACAAATACTTAAAACATTTTGTAAATAATCACTGCGTTTGGGAATGTAGTATTGTTTATTTTTCTGGATTTACAGCAAACCCTGTATAAAATCAATGTGTTAATACAAGAGTGAGGTGGAATAGGGTGACAAATGCAGGGTGTTTTTGAGACAGGACCTCACTTTGTAGCACAGTCTGGCCTTGACCTCTGTATGCCGGCTGGCCTTGGACTTCGGTAATCCTCCTGCCTCAGCTTCCTAGCTGTTGCTAGGACTTCAGCAGTGCGCTACTCAAGTTTCTGAAGGTGTCAGCTTTTACAACAGTTGGTACAAAGACACATAACTGTACCATAAAATTTACAGGCTGCAAAACATTTAAAAATAATTCTAAATGTATTGTAAAACACATTTATTTTAAAAACATTAATTTTTATTGCAAACCAATGAAAAATATTTATTGAAGCTTTCTAAAATCAAAATATTGCCTCTAAGGAAAAAATTTAAAAGGAAACAAGACCACATACAGTGGCACATGCCTGTAATCCCAGCACTCTGAAGGCTGAGGCAGAAGGATCACCGGCAGTTGACGACCAGCCGGGGCTACATAGCGAGTCCAAGACCAGACTAGATTAGAGTGAGACCCTGACTCAAAACATAATAAAGCGAAATATATATAACTTATAAAGACTGGTAAATGGAAGGACAGACAACAGTTTCTGAGGACCGTGTCAGACTTTGGGGTTTTAAAACAGCTTTAGCAAATGTGGCTCGATAGCCTTCGAACACTTCTGTGACCCAGGACTACAGCTAAGTCCGTGGACGAGACCTGATTGATTTGAGGATTGGGAGTCTCGCCTTCTAAGAGGATGTGAGAAAATGATGCCAGTGTGCACAGTATGAAGCGCGCAAAGCCGTCCCACCACTCAGGCACAGGCATTTGTGTCAGCTCCACCGTCCAGCAGCACTTTGACAATATTTGTAGGCTTTACTGCAGGCCAAGGAAAGTGCACTTTGTCAGGCTTTTCCTAAAAGTTGAGGATTGGCACCGTGCGCAGTAGAAGCTCGCACACAGGACGGGAGCAAATCCTCCCTTATCTGCATGATCCAAGCGCTTCCTTTGATGGAGTAGCCGGGAGGAGCCTCTCACCACCTGCCGATGGTTGGACGAAGAGCTTGCCACCGGAGTGTGGCAGAGACCGCATCTTCTGTTCGCTGGTTAAAGTTCTTGACAAGGGGTTGGTGGTAGAGGGGCTGTGGGGATGGCTGGCTCCAGGCTAGGAGGAGGCGAGGTGTGGATGTTGCCTTCGGCTTTAAACCGAATGGTTGCCATCTCCTGGTCAGAGGTAACTTTGAATGTGTTTGCCACCCTCTTCACTTGAGGATTTTACAGCCTGGGAACGTACCTTCCTTCCGTCAGTGGGTTGGGCAGTGTCAGTTCCATCTCCGTGGCACTACCCCGAGTTGAGCTTCTGAATGTGAATCCAGTGGACGTTCTGTTTCAGTGTCTGGCTTGTCAGAGAGACTGACACTGCTGGGACAGTCTTCCTCCATCACTGGGTGCCAGTGTCCAGATTGGATGATGTAACTGACTTCCACAGTAGTTCAGGAAAGCAATTCTCCATGATTTTTCTCTTGGTATTATAAGAGCAACATTCAATGTATTGTTAGAATTTAGATATTAATAACTAGGAGGTAGGTGTTGTAGCATCCCCAAACAGGATCCTGCTGATGAGGGGAGCATTGTAATTTCAGATGAGAACTCGCTCCCCCAAGACAAGCACATCCCGGAGACCTTACCAGAGGATCTGCTGAGCCCTCTAGCAGTCGGATCTAGACTTTGTCACCCCTGCTCCACTGACATTTCTCCCAGAATAACAAGAATAACAAGGAAAATAGCCAATTGTGTGTAAATGACTTTAGGCCCAAATGGTTGTATTGAGGTAACTAATATACCTTTTTAGCAGGTAGCAAAATTTTGTTGTAGGTGGAATGTCTTAATTTAGCTTCATGATTTCTTTAAGGTGACCAGACTTTTCTTACTAACAGTTTTACAGCTCCTCTTTTCGACATCTCCTTAATTAATGTGCTTCAACTTGGGTATATCTTTTTGTTGCAGACAAATCTTCCTATTTTCAAGCTAAAGGAATCTACTGTTAGAAGAAGATATAGTGATTTTGAATGGCTACGAAGTGAATTAGAGAGAGAGAGCAAGGTAAGAATTATTATAATGCAACTTTAATTTTCAGGTTCTCAAATTTTATTTTTTATAAGTGAGTTCAAAGCTGGCCTGAACTATGTAGCAAGATTGTGTCTAAACAAAACAAAACAAAACAGGCAATAGAATGTGAGACTAGCTTGAACTGCGTAGTAAGTTCAGAGCCATTGTGAACTATGTAAAAGGATCATCTATATATGCATGAATGAATGCTAGAATTGTAATTAGATTTTTTTTTCAGACTGCTTAAGCAAAGTAATTTGATGTTGAAGAGGATTTTTGGAATCTTAGCTGAACAAGCCATTCATAACTTCAGTAGGTCATGGTTCTTTTTGACTACAATCCTGCTGTCCATTGCCACTGGTCCTAGATTTCTTTTTTAAATAAAAGCTTTTGTAGGTATAGATATTCTCTGACCATCTCACAGCCTTTTTTGTGTGTGTGTATGTGTGTGCGCCCAGCATTGAACTCACAACCTCGTGCTTGCCAGGCAGACGCTTATGCTGCTGAGCTAAGTCCCCAGCCCAGTCATACAGGCATTTTACTGGAACTCATGGATCAGGAGCTCCTCTCAGTTATATCTCTGATGATTTTTAAACACTCAGTTTGACAAATGCTAATATAGGGGAGAGATTCATGAATACTAAAATTTATGATAATCCTGATAAGTCTTAATAAGTAGGATTATAAAGTTTACATTGGGCATTTGGTTTCTTGCTTTTTTTGTTGATCTGAACTTGAATTGATCTTTTTCTTTTTTAATCTACTGAACTATTATCTCAAGAATAGGTTTTAAGAAACTATCTAGGGCTTAAAGTTTTAACTCTCGAGGTGGGGATGGATGGCACATAGTTTTGGAGGACCATCCTAGTATGACTAAAGGCCCAATTTGAGTTTCCAGCACGTCAGCAACTAGAAAAGGTGTTCACTCTTGTGGAATATGTGTTACTGATGGTAGGAAATAATTTGCTGTATATGTTTACTGTTCATAGCTCTCTCTATTCTGTTTTGGTGTAAGATCAAGGCTAAGCTAAACGGTTGGTCATTTGGCGAATACTTGAGCTTCTGCTTCTGTTGCACGCCCAGCTTTTCTTAGACTTAGTTCTTTGTTGGAGAGCACACCCAGGGCCTCCATACTAGGCAAGCACTTTACCAAAGTTACACCCCAAGCCCTGTCTTTGTTAAAGTAACAGAGAACTGCTGGGCTCAGGAAATCCTTCCAGGTAGGCATGCTGAATCACACCTGGCTGAAGTATAGTTATCTTTAACAGGCTAAAGCGAGTAAAAACAAGTTATGCCAAGAAAAGGGCTTGTCCTAGTTATGCATTGTCTTTAAGTTTGACCGAATCCTAGAGAATATGATTATGTGAATTTACACATTAACTTTTACATACTAATTTGAAGATCTGTGAGTGGTAAAAAAAAAAGGGGGGGGGGACTTGTCTCTATGAACATACAAGCATTTCTCATTTAATGACAAAGTTGTGGTCCTATGATTAGGTTGTAAATTGAGTTGGTCATTATATATATAGTATGTACATACAATATTCAGAACAAAGAAGTGTTCACAGGAAACCTCAAGTTGATGACTTTGCTTTTGCGTAACTTACATGCAGTAATGCAATGTGTAGCAACATAAAACTGCTGTACTCTACAGTACAGTCAGCAAAAACTACTGTACCAGAAAAGACATTAAAGCTTTATAAATAATATGTACAGAACTGCACAAAAAAGGAGGAGCCAGAGTCTTAACTCAGCAGCACAAGCCCCTGCAGGGTAAGCGCAAAGTCATAAGTTCTATCCCCAGTACCAGAGAGAGAGAGAGAGAGAGAGAGAGAGAGAGAGAGAGGGAGAGAGAGGTGGGCAGTCCCAACAGCATGACTTGGTCATAAGTCCGAATGGTCACCTTCTGAGTAAGAGCAGTACTATGCTACTTGCTTTGAAATTCTGAGGTAGAAGTCTGGTTGTGCAGTGTGTGTTGTGTTGTGTCCCAGGGATTAAAGCCAGGGAGTGCTGAGCTGCATATCAAGTTCTTTTTTTTTTATTTTTTTTTATTTTGCCATCCTCCTCCCTCAACCACTGGAGGAGCTGGGATTACGGGCCAATCTGGTTTGAATTCAGCCTGTGATGGAAAACTTGAAAAGGCAGGGCTGTTGTCCTAACTGGGAGGTGCCACCTTCATGGGGGGGGGCAGGGATGCTGCTCGGTATTCTGCGGTACACAGGAGCCCCATCCCTGCCCTGCGCTGAATTACCGTCAGAGGCGGGTTGTGCACTTGCCTGACTTGCTCAAGGCTCTGGGTTAGACTCTGAGGGGGAAAATTTGGGGAACTCCAATAGTGTGGGAAGGAAGAGAGGAGCAGCACTGGGAAACAGGCAGGATGCAGGGTCTGAGAGAAAGTCGACGTGTTTGTTAGTTCCCGAAATGGACACAGGGATGCGGACGACATACACAGGAAGCGAGCAGCTAGTGTCAAGAGGGTGAAGGCACCACAGAATTCTTCCTGTGTGTTATTAACAGTTTATTTCTGCATTTAATTGAGGTTTTGGTGTTGTAGGTTGTAGTTCCCCCACTGCCTGGAAAGGCATTTTTGCGTCAACTTCCTTTCAGAGGAGATGATGGAATATTTGATGACAATTTTATTGAGGAGAGGAAGCAAGGGCTGGAGCAGTTTATAAACAAGTAAGTGCTTTCTGTTCTTCACGCAGTAAAAGAGGATGTCGTTTTGAGACTGCTTTAGGTGCCTCCCTGTACTTTACGTGTTAAGCTAAGCTGTGGTGGTACCTTTTGTATCCTGACTTTTCTGCAACACTGAAACTAAGTAAAAATATCTGACAAGTTGAAACTCACGAAATACAACATCCTTGAGTGATTGAAATGAGTAGCTTTGTGTTGACCGTTTTATATTTGTTTTTCTAGGTTAATTTATGCAGATTACATTTAAAATTATAGTGTTTAAAAAATAGTTTTTCTATTTTCTGATTTAAGGTATGTTCTAGCATGAACCGTAAAATGCACAATACTCTTGCAATCATTTTGTTTGATTGCAAATGGAGACATTATTGGTGTGTCTTGTGTAAAGGTATACATTTTTTATTTTCATGACAAAAGGTTTCTTTGAAAATGTTAAACAAAAAAACCTTAGGAATGTTTGTCTTTTAGAAACTCTTGACAAGCTCAAACTATTATCTCTAGTATTTAATTTCAATCACATTTGAAATATAGCTATTTAATTTAATTTAATTTAATTTAATTTGTTTTCTTGATGCTGGGAAATGAACCAGGGCCTTTGACCTCAGCTACGTTCTCTGCCCTCTTTAGTTTTTATTCTGAGGCAGTCTTGCCTGCCGAATCACTCAGTTGTTCCAGCTAGCCTGGAACTTGTGGTTACAGGCCAGCCTGGTTTCGTATTCAGCCTCTGATAGAAACTTTAAAAGTGAGCCACAAAAACAGAAAACAAATCAAAGAGAGATGGCCATTTGTGCCTGCTTCTTAGTACACTATTGGACTTCATTACATTTCCTGTATTTTTTATTCCATCCAATCCTATTATAGACTCATGTAGATGCTGCTTAGAATTCAGAGACAAATTTCACTTTAAACATTAAATTCATTTAAGTTCCTTATAGATATTCCAGCTGAGATTTAAGAATCAAGTTGGATACAAATGCCAGAAGCAGTATAAAGTTAATCTGTTAGAAAATGTTTTCTAAATCATTCTTGGGACTCAAATAAAAGAAAATACACTATTTGTAGAGCATAACTGCATAGCTATTCCAGAATAGTAGTTGTTTTTAGAAAATTGTAAATACTTCCTAACCTTAAAGTGAGTGTTTTGACCCTTAACTACCACCACTTTTATAGAATACTGGACTGAATTTGTATTTTTAATTTGCAGGGTCGCTGGTCATCCTCTGGCACAGAATGAACGCTGTCTTCACATGTTTTTGCAGGATGAAATAATAGATAAAAGCTATACTCCATCTAAAATAAGACACGCTTGAAATTTGGCAAGAGGCAAAAGCGTGACCGTTACTGATCTGCACCAGTGAGACGTTCTAACCACCCCTTAGCATGCTGCACAGAAGCTGTTCTAACGCGCCTTCGGTATAGTAACACTCATGTGCTCACTTTGGTTTGGCAGTTGACAAGTTAATTTGCTTTAGTGGAAGTCTCTCATTCTAGCCTTTCTCTATAAATAGCTCTTCCTTGCTGATTTAACGTGGTATATACACTAGCTTCACAAGCCTCCCCATATAATCTGCAGTGTCCTAACTAAAGTTTCTGACTCGGTCTTATTTGCACAGTTTTTGTGTCATGCTTGCTTCTTCAGTCTGATTAACTAAAGTAACCCCCAGATGTGATGCCGCTTGGTCTAATTTATGTGTAGGAGCACTACACCGCTCGTTTTCAGTGCCGCACACGAAAGATACACACCCTTCTCCCGGCCTGTAGTGCCCTTCAGATGAAAAATTAATGAGGGAAATCTTTATATTCTATATACAAACAAATCAAATTTATATACTAAAATCATTTGTCTAAAATTTTAAGTTGTTTTCAAATAAAAATGCATTTCTGATATGCACTGATGGTGTTGCCTCCAGCTTTTCTTTTCTCCCTTATGGCTTAGCTACTTAACTCACTTGTTGAGAGGGATTATTTACTAATTATACACTTCTCATTCCTGTAACTCCATTCCTCTTTAAGCAGTGGTGATATCAAGTATGCGGCCACCTTTTGAATGGGGTATTTTCTTTTAAACAACAGAAAAGCAATGCACTAAAAACGCATTCCTTAAAGCTTATTGAATTGTTATGAAGCACTTTGTATACTGGAGAAATGCTTTATAATCTCAAGTCATTCTTTAAAAGACCTTTTAAGATAAGTTAACACTAAGCCTCCTGTTTCTCAGAGGAATTTTCCCTAGTCCCTCTGACCTTAGCACGGTGTATAAGTCAGCAGATGCATGGTTTCTCTTTAATGAGGGTTGGGCTACTGGCCTGCCTTATGCCCTTCACAGAGCTGCAGCTTGACTTGTGTAAGAGATAAGAGACCACAAAATACACGAATCTTGCTGCCTGATTGTGTCATGGCCAAGACCTTTGCAGCCAGGCTGTGGTTTCCGGTTTGAGTCTCAGGGCCTATGATGGTTTGAGGGCTCATGTGACCCAGAGTTCAATCCCAGGATAAAGAAGGGGAATCCTTCCACCATGAACTGTCTCCTTGGTAAATGAATGAGTCAGTGCATTTGAGAGGAAACAAGCTTTGGTCTTCGCAAACCAGGATTCAACCAAGCAGACCAGAAATCATTAAAAGTCAGAGCTGCCGTAAGACTTCGTTGTGCAAACAGTGTTTCACAATTTCATAAAGCTGGATATTTCCATCATTGTAAGAAAATACAAAGCTAAACATACTAACTTAAATGAGTGGGCTAGAGAACATCAAAGGCTATCATGCTTTGGTATCCAGAACGGAAAAATAAGAGCTCCACTGTACAATAATTCCTCTAGAGTAGCAGCTCTCTGAGGCCAGGAGGATTCCGCCTCCCCGGGGGTAGTCAGGGATGTCTGGAGACACACTGGGGTGCTGCTGAAGTGGAACAGACCGGAATCAGAGGTGCCGCCGCCCTTTGCAGGACAGGCTCCACCCTCACGGGATTCTGTGGGCCCTTACAGAGGGAGAAACCCAGTAAGGCGGTGTAGGCTGGACTGGACTGCCCTGCTCGCCTCTCGTCTCTTATCCCTGTGTCCTCAGGATGGGGAGAAATTTCTTCAACTAAGTGAAAAGTCACTTATTCTACGTTTTTGCCTAATTTAGGAGTGTACTTTTCAGTTTGGTCTCTTAGGGAACCAAGACTGTGGTCTGTAGTGAAACTTTACTTTTTGACTCTCTAGGTTAAAACTAAAAATGCAGGTTCCCTTAATTCTGACCACGTGGGAAGAGGTTCTGGAAACCCTTAGGAGTCTTCCTCAGAGAATAGAATGTAACTTGCCCATGAGTCGCATGGTGGGCAGGTGATTCTGAGGCTGTGGAGGCTGAGGCAGCCTTACAGGTGTGCGCCACTTGGCTGTCTAACTGGGTCTTACTTGAGTTTTCTTGACTATCTTCATCTACAAAAAGAAATCAAGAAAAAGATCTTACCAAAAAATCTTGAGACGTTACTTTTGTAAGTGTCGATTTACAGCCTTACAAAATATCAAATTGTTAGAGGCCAGGAAAATTAATTCAAGCGCATGAAAAGTTTACAAGTGGTTTTCACTGTCCCACTGAGTGCCCCAAGTGGATGCAACCTGAAGCACTGAGCTCTTGAGATGCGCAGAGGGCCTTGTGAGGTGCTTAGACAGCACCTAAGCAGACACCGACAGTGCTGTCCCAGAGCAAACGGCAAATGTGACGAGAAGGGATGTGGGAAGGGAATTCAGATAGGAAGGGACTGGTCATTCCCAGTGCGACACGTCCAGCTTCACTTCCTACATAAAGAGAGCTTGAAAGTTGGTGCCCTTGGGCTTGAAAAAAGAAAAATCCAGACAAGCAGTGACTTCTCAGACCCATTAGCAAGTTAAGGTAGCAGGCACACTACCAGTCCAGTGTTTGGAGAGACAGCCTGAGCTCCAGAGAGGAAGCGGCAGTTGGCACAGGGGTGCCGAAGCGAACAGTCAGGCTGTGGGACTGTGGGTGAGGTGCTTGCTGCAGCCTGAGCGTGGACTAGCATGACAGCAGAAATTCCTTGGGGATTGCAGCCTTAAGTCACATGGAGGTTTATCCAGAGGTGATCAGAGTGACGTCCCAGAACAGGCCCCCCGTGGGACAGAATGAACATGATTGTGAAATAATGCCGCCTTATAAAGGCTGCTTTCCAGGTTGTAGGAAGGCTGTGTGGCCTCCATCCTACCTTCCTGCCTCTTCCCTAAAAAAAAAAGCAGTGTAATTCAAGGGTCACAACTTCAAGGAAATGGATAGGCAGTGTTGCAGGCTTGGACGAGAAGCAGGCTTACGGCAGCACTGATTTCATCGGGATGGTAGAGAGCCCCCAGCCCCTCCGTCCTCCACACCAGTGGGGCTGCAGTGTCATCGCCAAGGAGTTCAGAGTAACCAAAAGACAAGAGGCAGGCGACGGAGACGCTAGAGGAAGGTGGAGTCTGGTACCGGAAACTGCCACAGACACTACGCACAATCAAACTAGCTAGAGTGCTGGAAATCAGTTTAAGTCCAACATGTCTGGCTCGCAACAAAAGTCACAAGCCATGCCAAAAGAAAAAAATCCAGATAAAGCGCTTACAATCATGATTTGTTATGGGTGTTGGAATTATCAATCAATTAAAAGTAACTGATGAATATGTCAAAGGATTTTTTTGTTTTGTTTTTGAGATAGCGTCTCAGTGTGTTGCCTCGGCCGGTCCTGTGACTTCAGGTGATCCTCTCTCCTCAGCCTCCCTGATAACTGGGACTGCGGGCGGGCACCCCCACTCTCAGTTATGTTAAAGAAAACTTGAACAATGTGGAAAAATAGATGGGTAGGGGCTGGTGACATCACTCAGTGTCTGAGCACTTGTCTGACCCCCCAAAGTGCTGGGTTCACTCCCTAGTACCAGTGAGGGGGAAGTAAGCGGGTAGTGTAGGAAATCACTCAGAATCAAAAGTGACTAATACAGTGCCAAGAAAACCCGACTAGGATGGACTCCTGAGTAGACTTGACGTGGCTCAGGAAAGAGTGTGCAGCGAGGGGCCCGGACGGACTGGGCAAGTCCCCACTACTGCGCTCCTCCGCCCTCCAGTTCAGATCTGGATCGTTCCTGAAAATTACGATGTTTACTACATCCACCAGGAGGGCTTTGTTTAACGTGTTAAAGAGAATCACATTATATCAAGAATCTTCGGGATGCTTTAATAAAAGTATTTTAGTAATTTATTTTTGTAATCATGTGTATTTTATTTTATGCTTGTAAATACCCGAGTAGGATCTGTGGGTTCAAAAAGGGTCAAGAAGCCCTGATACAGAAAAACTCAGACCCATCCTATGCCACAGTAAGACATGGCTGTGCCAGGACTTGGGCTGGTCCCAGGCCGCTTCATTCCCCATTTAACCATCAGAACAACCTTACTGAATGAGTGTTCCTCTCATTTGACCAACAGGAGAGTTGGGACAGTTTAATTTGTCCAAAGTGTTATAGTCAACAAGCAAAATGGATTTGAACTACTGTCTTCGATCTGAAAGTCTGCCTGCACAGTGGATGCTGACTGCTCGTACAGGAGCACAGGCGGGGCCCATGCCCAAGCCCTGCCCTGGCTGCTGGAGGCCATCAGGCTCCTGGACATCCCTGCCCCGAGTGCCGCCACGGTTGCCTTGATGCCACTGTGGCTGTCAGGCTCTTGCCAGAGCTAAAGGCCACTGAAGATGTAAGAGACTTGGGTTCCATAACCAGGGTGGCCATCCCTGGTTGGCAGAGGTGAACGCTGCAGCTTTGCCATTGCTTAGCTTCCGTGTGCATTTCCTTTCTAGCTGGATTATACTTTAATCCAGTTGTTTTCATGTTCAGTAAATCCTAACCATGTTTAACCGGTTTAGTCACTGGAGTGTCTAAGGTGAAGAAAGTTTGTCCTTTCAGCTGCACTGAGGATTTGCTGTCTTCTTTCTGCAGAGGGATTTTCCCCGACCTGTAATCTGAACACTTTGACCTGTGGGGGTTCCCTTGCCAGGAGCGGGTCCCTAAGCCTTGACCCTTTGAGTGCCGCCCTGCAGAGAGCATGCTTTTCTTCTCCCCAAGACAGTTAATGACGGATGTCAGGAATGTGAATCATCTACTGTGCTGCTCTTTGCCACTGCCGGCAGCCACCTGGTGGCCTCTGGCATCTCCCGGCAGAGCCCCACCATTTCCTGACAGTATTCTAGAGAGAATCCTGCGCAGTCTGACTGGAAGCTGAAATAAGTGAATTGAGCTCAGACAGCACACAGTTGGTCCCTTATAGGTTCCAGTGGGAAGACAGATCGGCACGACTTCCATGAGAAGCAGGAACTGGGTGGCGAGGGTGTAGCTTGGCAGAGGAGCGCTTGGTAAGTGCGAAGCCCTGGCTTGGATGCCCAGTGCTACCACCAGGAAACAACAACAACAAAAAAAAAAAAACAAAAAAGCCGAGAAGTTCCAATTCTAGGAATATATTTCACATACTTTGTCTTGAAAAATTACAAAATTATAGGACAAAGATTTCAAGTGTTAATGGAATATCTGAAACGTTATATAAGAAATACGTAACATTGGTTCCTGGTTGGGAGGCTGGGTAGCTCATACAGAAGTGAAGGGGAAAAAATACACACACAGCCTGAGTGGCCTCAGTGGGACTCGTGGTCTCCCTGCCTCAGTTTCTTTCACCGCCAACAGATCCAGCCGGTGTACCCGTTAGAAAACAGGCACAGTCACACACATGATCCCAGCTACTTGGGAGGCCGCGGCAGAAGGATTTCAACACACACACGTATGCATATGCACATTCGCACACACGGAGCTTTTTTGAGTGGAGTTCAGGGGAAGTGGAAAGATAGTACTAACAGTTCCGTATGCTCCATTCAGCTCCTCTTGCTGTTGATAA